ATCGTCCCTTTGGTTAATGAATAAATGTGTTTATGCTATTTTAACGTTGTATGCTTTTTTTTTTCTTCTAATTTTATAGGAAATTAGTGATGAGTTTTAATAATCATGAATTGCATACATTCTGGGGCAGTCTTGAGGGCAGTATATTGAGATCATGTTTTAGTAATTTATATATGGAGCTACTTCTGTGCAGATATACCACCCATCATTTAAGCTTGCCCAGTGCTATTGGAACTTTGTATCAACTCAAGAGTCTTAAATTTCTGGCAGAGACTGTTATGAAAAAATAGCCACTTAAACTTTATAATTTAGATATTAGAATAAAAGTTAAATTACTACCTTGACTAATGATCATAATTTCATAGTGCGCCTTTAACTATTATTCAGGAATTCCGGAACCAAAAATTCATTTAACGAGCTTTCCAAGGACCTGCCACGTGCAGGCAGTGTTCTAGAGGTTAAGGTACATCTGAACACAAGGACAATTCATTGCCCTCACTCCCAACTCTGAAAGAACCCAATGTGCTTATTAACAAAAGCCTTCAAAGTACTACAGCTCTAATATAGTTCTGTGTCTACATAAAGAAAAACGAGAATTCCAGTGGATCTCTCTGTTCTTTTGTTTTGAACCCAAATTCCAATACCTGCAACTCACATTTGGAGAAATAGCATATGGGCACTGGGCTAACGTACTGTGTGCCTGGTCCTCACAGCAATACTAAGAGGAGCTAGTAGTGCCCTTATCTTTGTGGTGCAGACAAGCAAACAGGTTTTTTGTTTGTTTTGTTTTAAGATTTTATTGGAGAACCAAGGGAGGGGAACAGTGTTGGGGTATTGGGGAAGGGGAACAGCCAAGTTTGTGTCCTTTAATCTTAGTTGTGGAGGGTGCAGCAAGCTCAGCTCCAAGTCCAGTCACCATCCGGATGCCCGTCGGCAGCTCCCGGCTGCTCAGCTCAAAGTGCTGTGTTTAATCGTAGTTGTGGGTGGGTATAGCCCACCATCCCATGTGGGAGTCAAATCGGCAACCTTGTTAGGAGCACGTGTTCTCACCAGCTGAACCACCCTGCCACCTGTTGGCAGCTCAGCGGCAGCTCAGCTCGGGCGCAGCTCATTGGCCCATGTGGGCATCGAACCGGCGACCCTGTTGCTCAGAGCTTGCGCTCTAACCAGCTGAGCCACTTGGCTGGCCAGCAAACAGGTTTTTTTACTAGCTAACGTGTTCAAGGACATAAGAAGCAATAAAGGTGGATTGGGAACCTACATCTGGTCAAGTTCACTCAATGATTAGTGGTGCCCTAGGACAGTCTTCCTACGACACTGCCTCTTCTCAGCTTGTGTAAAGATCCTGAGTCTAATGCTCCTTTATGTGATAACTGAGACTTTTCTGAAACCACCCTCCATGCACTGAA